GATGGAGTGCAGTGGTAGGATCATAGCTAACTGACTTAGTGCAACCTCAAATTCCTGGGCTCATACCATCCTCCAGCCTCTAGTCTCAGCCTCCTGAGTAGCTAGGACTACAGGTGCACAATACAGTTGCCCGGTGAATTTTTGTATATTTTGTAGATGTGGAGTCTTGCTATATTTCCCAGGCTGGTCTCAAATTCCTGGCTGCAAGATATCTTCTCACCTAGTCCTCACAAATTACTGGGATTACAAGTGTGAGCCACTGTGCCCCAGCCTCTAACATTAAATTTTGAAGTCAATATGGTTCACTTTTTTTCACATGCTTGTGTATGTTAATTTAGTTTGGAATGTTACATTTCAGTTTTCTTCTGCTTCATAGTTCTTTACATGATAAATTTTCAGTTGTTATGGAGTATTCATTCTCACATTTAATTTTCTTGTAATTTGTTATACAATTTTGACATTTTTGTAAATTTCAGTAGTCTATGGGATCTCTATCTCAATGGCATTTTTTTCAACACTGTGGCAAAGTCCAATTTATTTAGTGTGGGGTTTTTTTTGTTTTTTTTTTTTTTGTCTTAGTGAGGAATGGGTTATGTGTGTTCCAAATTTTTGCACTTTTTAAATCATGAGAATATATTCTATCCCTTTTGCTATATTCTGTCCCTTTTGTTTCACCATGTAATGATTAATTGGCTCTTTTTTCCTTTTTTCTTGCTTTTTGCTTTCCTAGAATCTATGACTTTTTAATTCTGCTTTCTCATGCCCTGTAAGCATTTAAATCTCTTCCTTATAGTCAGTGATATGATCTACCAAAATGCCAATATTTTGAATACTTTTATATACTTAGTGTGAACTTTTTCATTCTATTGGTGGTTTTATAGCAATTTAGGTCTACTGCCATCTCCTCTCTTCTCTGTTCCCTGTAGTTTTTCTTGGACTTCTCTTGCTTGCCACAAGTTTGCACTAGGAATATGAGAGACTACCTATTGGGATATGATATCTATCTTTTAAAATTACACATAATTTGAAGTTTGGGTAGCCTTTTCTCCATTTATATTGAGGTTAGGAACTTGGGACAGATTTATTTGTTGTTCTGTGTTCTATTTGCAAGACATTTTAAGGTCTGGGTGTGGTGGTGAAATGGGACGTGAATTAGACACTTATTGTTCTTGGCTAGCTAGCAGTTTATGTTCTTTTGTTTCTGATGTGAAAAGAGTCATCAATTTTTAGGTTTTCATTCTCCTCTATGTAAAGCATATATTAATTATTAATTTGGCTTTGTGCTGTATATTCTCTTTGTGCTTTGTTTATAGCAGTTTGATTATGGGCAAACTGTTTGTGGTTTGCTGTATTTATTTTCCTTGAAATTGCTGAATTCCTTTGGTATGCAACTTCATTTTCTTGCTAAATTCAAAATTTTAAAATAATTTTCATTATCTCTCTGTATTTATGTATATGTGTGTATATGGTGCATTCTTTATTATTTTGTTTCTTTGTAATTAACCAATTGCAGATAGGTTAGAAAATTTGATATAGTCCCTTAGATAATTTTTCTTTTCAATTTTCTTGTATTAATTTCTGCTTTTTAGCTTATATAATTTCTAATTTTCTGTTTTTAAGCTCACTGATTCTTCCTTTTATTATTTTCAATCTTGTTTTTATGTCTGTCTGGCAAATTTTTCATTTTATGCATTATAATTTTATGTTGTTTCCTTTTTACAATTATAACTTCTCTGCTAAAAACCATCTTTCCCATTAAGTTCTTGAATATTTTTATAATAGTTACTTTAAAGTCTTTGCTTCCTAATTCTAACACCTTGATCATCTTAACACTGTGTAATAAGTTCTGTTTCCTCCCCCTCCTAGTTATGAAAAGTTTAATTATCTTAAAGATTATTATTTTTACTATATGATGACAATTATGGGTGATATATTATTCAGCGTTTGAATTTGTCACATTCCTTTAAAGCATATTCAGTTTTCTGCTAGCAGGCAATTAATTTGATTTATGAATAAGCATACTTTTTTGAGGCTTGACTTTAGAGGCTACTTGTGTGGGCTCTAATAACAAAATTTTTCCCTAAGAATGTGGATAGCTAACTACTTCTTCTTCTTCCCTTTGCCCAACCCTCTCCCCTTCCCCTTCCATTTCTCCTTCTCCTTCTCCTTCTTCTCTTTTCCTTCTCCTTCTCCTACTCCTTCTCCTTCTTTTTCAACAGAGTCTCACTCTGTTCTCTGGGCTAGAGTGCAGTGGTGTTATCATTGCTCACTGCAGTCTTGAACTCCTGGGCTCAAGTGATCCTCTTGCCTCAGCATCACAAGTAGCTGGAGCTGCAGGCACGAGCCACCATATCCAGCAATTTTTTGTTAGCTTTTTTAGAGATAGGTTCTTACTATGTTGCCCAGGCTAGCTCAAATTCCTGGCCTCTAACGATCCTCCCACCTCAACCTCCAGAGTTACTGGGATTGCAGGCCTGAGCAACTGTGCCCAGCCATAGCTAACTTCTATTGCATAAATAGGGTCATTTGATTTTATTAATGTTTGAGTAAAATGTCTGAAAATATATTATATGCAAGTAACGGGGTTAAATCAATTGGAAGTTAATGAATGTTCATCAGGCACTTGGCTTTTTGCTAGATTCTAAGGCAGCTGCGTGATTTGCAAGGAGATACAAGTATGACTACATTACCTCAAGGTATACATAGTGTATTGAGAGAAACAGAAGAGATAGAAAAAAATCACTATACTTAAGTGAGATAGAGTCTACTTTATATGAGGGCATTGCTCAAGTTGTAATATCAACTAAAAAAGGAGGAAGACAAGAAATGCTCTGAAAAGTTGAAATAGAGAGCTTGAGGAAGAGAATCATAAGAAATAAAGGATGATAAACCAATATAATAAAGTAGGTCATTGGGTCACCTTATTAGCAGCATTTGCAAAGACTATTGGGGAAAAATATTGTGGTAGATGGAAAATACACTTTTTATTTTTAAATTTGATAATTATGATATAAAATCATAAGCTAGTTTGTGGCTTAAGGTGAAATCTTAGCAGAGAAAAATAAGCTGAATATTTTTTATTGTTGTTTGAATACCTGGACTGCATATCGCTAGAAAGATTATAGAGAGGGATCAAGAGCACGGGAAGAGCACCCTTTCTTCTGCGCATTAGCAAGTATAGCAAAAAATACGTGCAATTAAATTTAAGGGACTTGGATTAAAATAATTATTTCCTGAAGATCTTAATTTGGAAGACCTATTAAGCATGAAACTGCAATTTCCCTCATGCAGGAGTAGAGAAGTCAAATAGTAGAAAAGAATACAAAAAAAAAAAAAAAAAAAAAAAACGATTTATAGGGTAGGGATAACATGATAGTGTGATATTTAAAAGGAAAATTTTCAGGGATTAACCGGGTATTTGCTCTGTGGAAGAGTCAGATTAGAATAGGGTGTAAAAAAGTCAGGAGTCAGGCATTGGAGATATTAAAGAAATGGAGAAGTAGAAAGAGTAAGAGTGTGGAGGGAATTGACAAGTTGTAATCAGAGATTCAGAGGTAAAAGCAATTCTGGATTGTGAAAAGTCCAGGTTGAAGTCCTGAAAGAGGACAGCTGGAGTGGATTAAAGGGTGGACCATTACTGTGAAATCAGTCTCCCACAACAATGGAGACATCATCTAAGGCGGTGCCAATAGTTGGATTCAGAGGGAAAATTGTGAATCAGGTGCTAATGCCCTTAATAAATATGATTGTGTCACTTAATGGTTTCAGTCACTGTCACAAATTAGGGGTTTGGATTGTGCTATCAAATCATATGACATTCAATGGAGGAACAGTATTTTGCTTGTTTGATTGTTTGTTTGGCAGGAAGGAGTGGATGGTTAATGATCTGGATTATTAACCAGTTCCAGTGGGCACATGGAACTGCAGTCTGGAAATGTGAGTTGCATGAGTGAAAGAAGATGCTGTTTTTCAGAGAGCTGTGCAAGATGCTATATTTTTTCAGGGAAGAGGGTGACAGGGGCAGATTTCTGTTAGTGCACAGAAGACATTTCTGTTAGTGCACAGAGATGCCCTCAAAGTTCCCAATATTTCTCTCTAAGAAAAGGAGTTTGCAAAATTGACAGAGACTATCAGGCTGGCCAACCCCATCCTTTCATTTCAAGCAGTTGGAACGTTTCAAGCAGTTGGAACACATGAAAGATCTCAGAAAAAAGTCAGGTTGTGAAATCTATGGAGAAAAGTGTTTTTTCCCCTCTTTATGTTTTTCTCATTTTCGTTTCTTGGTAATCATCTACAGAGAGTATTGTTCTGTATCCCTCACTATACAATCATGGCCTGTAAACTGTGATCGGAGAGAAATATATTCTTATGAAGAAACATAAGGGTACAACAGAAAGGGATTAGACCAGAATTCAGACTTAGCTCTCCATACATTTCTGAACAACCAGGGTTACAGAAACTTAACAGGAGAATAGAAGATAGTAATAAAAAGTTTTAAAATAAGAACTGCTGAAGAAGCAAAGAGGACCTGAACTGTCAAATCCTTTCCTTCCTCTGTATCTAGTCCCTTCCCGTGGGACCCATTCAAAGCCACTTGCCTTCACCCGAGACAATTAGACTCCCTTGCTCTGCCCACTCAAATACTTGTTTTAACATATGGCACTTTAGATGCTGTTGCTTGTCTCCTTAAACGCCTCTCTAAGACCATTTACTGTTTTTATGGCAGGTTTTAATGTGCTGCCAGTTTTCGGTACTTGCTTGCCAGACACTATTTTAATAATAGCATATCTCTTGCAAGGAAGCAACCTGATTCATTATTATTAAGTTATCTTTTTTGGCAGTACGTTCTGCCTGGCTCAAAGATTATGTAGAAGAAGAAGAATGTCCTTTCACAATCATGGTTGCCTCCTTGACATTTCTCTGATAAACTTGTTTTGTATTATCTCCTGTTTTCTTTGTAGAGCTTTTCTTCCAAGCTTTCATTACAGCCAGGGTGACAAGGATTTTGTTGTTGTTGTTTAAGTAAGTTGGCATGTGCTAAATTGCCTCTGATAGAAGAAGAACTCAATCAAAACTGACATTGTCTGTCTAGTGTTTTACTAGAAGCCCACTAGGTTGTGATACGTTTTAATGTTTAGACTTCAGTACTGCAATGAACATTAAATCAACAACTCCAGCCCGCATACCAATTCAGGAAATTAGCACAGAGCTTGAAAACTCTTGAAAATAAGGTGTGACCCTGCTGAAGATAATTCTGGCTTCCAGGCTTTCATGGAGGATATATTAATTCATTAAATTATTCGAGCATGCTGCATACAAATGCTGACAGAGATTCAAAGGTTTGTTGTCTCCTATTAATCAGTTTATTATTCATATCATTCTTTCACTAGAGGCATTAGAATATGTATGATTAATATCTTATTTCTATTGTTCTTGTGAGCAATTTCACTGGCTCTGCTCTAGAGAATTTGGTGTGTTTTTTTTTTAAGTAAATGTGAGAAGAACAATAAATTATTATCAAATCTTGATTTGATTGTGATTACATAGTGTCTCCTAATAACCATGTTCATTTTACCTAGTTCAGCCTGTGGCCAGGAAGGATGGTGCTGATACGAGGTGTCTCATTTTAACCTGTCACGAGGTGAATGAAGAGTCTCTGAAGATCACTTGACTTAAGGTAAATCTTAGCAACTTATGAGTGTTTCCTGGCTACTTCACTGTTCTCTCACGTGGTAGCTTTCATATTTTGAGACTGTTGATTTGGACTGAATGTCAGATCAAGAAGAACCACTTTCTTTTTTATCCATTCTGCTAAAGTTAAGGAAAAATGAGGAAAATTTTAGAACACTGTTGGTGATCCAAATATTAAGCTTAGTATTGCATATGTTTATTGTTCTCATTGTGGAGGCAAAGCCATTAGGCAGGTCTTAATAGTTTACGTGCTGGGTCATTTGCTTTGCTTTTTGGAGCACAAACTATTCTGGAGCATGTTTTGAATTGGAAAAACTCAGATTTTGGAAAAACTCAGATTCAGAAGTGTTTATGTACAAATGTCATAACACTAGGTTTTGAAGATCACTATTAGTTAATATGTTAAAAAGAAAAAGGACATTTGCTATAAAAAGAGGTAAGCAAACTAAGCTTCAAGAAAAATGGAAATATCATATATACAGAAGCATGATTCATATCCAGAAATATCTACTCTTTGCTCCTGATATTTTTGGTGTGTGTAGTCCCTAGAATTAGTAAATAAGCATTCTTTTTTGTAATATCTAGGTAGTTCCCCCTGAGAGCTGCCTTGCCATGTATTTTCTGGGCTGAGTGGCTCATCACAGGAAGCTCCATGAAACACAATGCTTTGAGATAACTTATCACCATCTATATGACTGGACCCATATCCTTTACAAGCTTAACTGAGTGTAGTTTAAACCTTGTATTTATTGACCCTGCTGCTTTCTTTTTACCAATTGCTTTGTCATTGTCTGCTTGTTATTTTTTGGCCTTCCCAAAGTTAATAAATAATCAATGAATTGGATTGGCTGATTGCCTCACAGAAGCCATTGGCATCTACATTACCCTTATCTCAGTTTCCTGGCTGTCTTAATTCTATTAAATTTAGCTATGAACAATGCCAAATATGTAGGGGGAAAAAGCTTAGATTTACAAGCAATGGCAAGTCAGCATAGCACACTGTAAGAGAAAGAAGTACAGATAGGTTCTAACAAGTATTGTGGCTTTGTGCAAATCACCTCACCTCTTTGGCACCACTTTTGACACTTCTTGTGTGTATCAGAAGGGAAGTGGGGAGAAATAGGAAGGGAAATAACACTTGGGGAGAGAGCATAGTATAATGAAATGTTTATCGGTTTTTAAATTCAGAGAGACAAAGGTTCAAATGTTGACTCTGCCACTTATGACATTGGGCAAGTTATTAAAATGTTTTACATTTTTATTTATTAAATGAGAAAAAAACATTGCTTTATTTTGTTTAAAGATTTTGAGGATTTCATCTAAGGGTCATGAAACATAATATTAATAGGACCTCAGTAATTGAAATTTTTAAATAGGATGTTCTTTCCCCAGTGTATATTTTTTGTCTGATGTGTCAAAAATCAGTGGTCATAGCTATATGGTTTTATTTCAGGGTTCTCTATTTTGTTGCTTTTGTCTATGTTTCTACCTTTATATTATTCCCATGCTGTTTTGGTTACTGTAGCCTTGTAGTATAATTTGATGTCAGATTTGTTGTCTTTTTGCTTAAGATTGCTTGAGTATTTGGGCTCTTTTTTGGTTCCATATGAAGTTTAGAATCATTGATTTTTCTATATCTGTGAAAAATGGCATTGGTATTTTCATGGGAATCACAGTGAATTTGTAAATCACTTTAGGCAGCATAGACATTTTAACAATGTTGATTCTTCCAATCATGAGCATGGGATGTTTTTCTATTTGTTTGTGTCATCTGGGATTTCTTTCATCAGCATTTCATAGTTCTCCTTATAGAAGTCTTTCACCTCCTTGGTTAAGCATATTCCAAGGTATTTTATTTTTTTGCAGCTATTGTAAAATCAAGTACTATGTTCTTGATTTGATCTTAGCTTGACTTTTATTAGTATATACAACATTACTGATTTGTGTACATTGATTTTGTAACCTGAGGCTTTGCTGCACTTATTTATCAATTCTAGGAGTCTTTTTGTGGAGTCTTTAGGGTTTTCTAGATATGAGATCATGTTATTGAAAAATGCATATCTTGACCTTCTCTTTTCTAATTTGGATGTCCTTTATTTTTGTCTCTTGCCTGATTGTTCTGGCTAGGACTTCCAGTATTATTTTAAATAGAAGTGGTGACATTAGTCACCCTTGTTTTGTTCCAGTTCTTGGGGAGAATGCTTTCAACTTTTCCCCATTCAGTATGGGGTTGGCTATTGGATAGCCACATGCAGAAGAATGAAACAGGATCCCTATCTCTTGCCACATACAATTAGCTCAAGGTGGGTTAAAGACCTAAGTGTAAGATCCGAAACCATAAAAATTCTGGAAGAAACCATAGGAAATTATCTTCTAGACATTGGCCTAGGCAAAGAATTTATGACTAAAACTCCAAAGGCAAAACAGCAACAACAAAAGTAAATAAATGGGACTTACTTAAAATATAAAAGGCTTTGCACAGCAAGAGAAATAATTAACTGAGTAAACAGATAACCTATGGAATGGAGGAAAATATTCACAAGCTATGCATCTGGCAAAGAGTTAATATCCAGAATCTACAAAGAACTCAAACAAATCATTAAGAAAAAAAACAAATAATCCCTTTAAAAACGGTCAAAAGACATGTATACAGTTTTTTTCAAAAGAAGATAGAAAAATGGCCAATAGACATATCAAAAAATGCTCAACATGACTATTCATGAGGAAAATGCAAATTAAATCCACAATAAGATACCACCCTCCTCCTATTGACCTCCTAGAATGGTCATTAAAACATCAATAAACAATAGATGTTGGTGTGGATACAGTGAAAAAGGAACATATATACTGTTGATGAGACTGCAAATTAGAACAACCTCTATGGAAAACAGTATGAAGATTCCTCTAAGAACTAAAAGTAACCCTAACATTTGATCCAAGAGTCCCACAACTGGTTATCTACCCAAAAGAAAAGAAGTCATTATATTAATATCAGAAAGACAACTATACCTGAATGCTTATTTCAGCACAATTCACAATTGCAAAGATATGGAATTAACCTAAGTGCCCATCAATTGATAAGCAGATAAATAAAATGTGGTATATGTATACGCATGCATACACACACACCCACACCCACACACATCATGGAGTACTTACTATTCAGCCATAAAAAGGAATGGAATAATGTCATTTGCAGTAACTTGGATGGAATTGGAGAACATCATCATAAGTATCTCATGAATGGGAAAACAAACATTACATATTCTTGCTAGTAAGTGGGAGCTAAATTATGTGTACACATGGTCATAAAGAGGCATAAATGGCATTGGAAACTAGGAAGGGGTGGGGGATAGAAACTTACCTATCAGGTACAATGTATGCTGTTTTAGTGATGGGCACATTAAAAGCTGTGACTTCAGCATTATACAATTCATCCGTATAATAAGAACACTTGTACCCCCTAATATTTTGAAATAAAAATTATTTTAAAAATTGAAATATTTTATTTTTTAAAAAAATTTTAGTCCAAGTTCCTTATTCTTAATAACACATATAATTTTAGCCTATATTTTCAAAAACAGGAAGGTATTGAAACATGTATTTTGAACAGGAAGGTATTGAAACATGTAAACATGTATTTTGTGAATACAATGGTGAATACCTAATCCACAGTACTTTTTCAGAGATATATTGGCCTTTTGTTCAGATATCTCAACTCTTACTTAATCTTTTGTAATAAGGCTAGTTGTTTAAGTTTCTAAAGATTCAGCAAAATTGGAGAAAGTAATTCAAATTAGGGCTCGAAGATTGCTGGTTAAGCACATAGACAATAGTAAAAGCTATAGTTGACTGGTTGAGAATACAAAAAAACTGAAAAGTATTTGAGTGTGGCCCTTTCTACAGCTCTTCGGGCTACAGAATCCATACAATGTCATCATATTAAAGAACAGATTGACATTCATATAGATAGATCTCTGAGCTCTAATGGAAAGGTAAAATGATATTAAACACATTCTGCCTTAGAAGGCATAGATGTGTGTAATATGTTTTAGAAATATTTCTATTAAAATGGTTAGTTTTAGTACTTGAGAAGTTAAGCTTCAGTTATCTGTAAAATTAACATATGTGTTCAGATCATTCCCCATCAATGTCAGATTAATAGAGTGTTCTGCCTATTGTCATTACCAATCATTCTTCTGCCACCTCTTGGCATTTTTTCTTCTCCCAAAATATACTACAATGATGACTATATGGCTTAAGGAAGGTCTCTTTTAGGAAAGTCGATAGTGAGGAGATGTATTTTAAATTTAGCAAAGGCCATCCTTGACCTGTTTCAGTTGATTATTCAAACTTTTGTGCTTCACTATGATGTCAATGAAATCCCCAGCCAGAGCCTGGCATCAATGCTATTGTATATGTTTGTAATCTGAGCCAGACATCTGTGAGTGCATGAAGCAGGCCCCAGGGCAGGAAGGCTGGCATCTTTCCACCTAAATGACTGTTTAAGTAAAAGCAGCACAGGGGAGAAAGACAGGGTAGTCTGTTTTCTTTGTAATTGGTGTTGGCTTGAATGTATTCAATTCATAAATTGGCTCGAAGGCTGTTCATTTTCAAGATGACAATGCTTTCACATAATGCAGCAATCAACAAAGAGCTGAGAGATACAAAGTTTTAACTATATGAAAAGTCTAAACTTTTCCTTCTAGCTTTTCATGCATACCACAGCTCTCCCCTTCCCAAGCAGACCAACATATCACTCACCACACACATACACACACACATGCCTAAACTATGCAGCAATTTCCTTGCTTTCTTGGCTTATTTGATAAGTGCTTTAAGTATATTCCCATAAAAGTATGTCCTGAATTCCTTTTGGTGGATCACTGACTGGAGAAATTTATGGATGGACTGATGAATATTGAAGATGAAAGAAAAGCTACTTATAAAACGCATTCTAGATATATCTTACCATTTCCAGGTAAA